ATTCACATGATAAAGGAGGTGTATTGGGTCATGGCACAGCTGCATGGGACCATCTGAGTGTAGTCCTGTCCTAGTATCTCCTCAGTGCAGGTCCCATAAACCAAACAGAACTCAATCAGAGCGACACAGACGAGCTCTGATACATGAGCCCAGGAGATAATTGTAACGTGTCAAAGCCCCACTTTGGAAAATCTCCAGGATCCAGGATTCCCTCTGAGTCACTCCTCAGTCCTCTGCACGTCTGAACCACACTCGCAAACACGCAGCACACAAACATACACACACACACACACACACACACAAGCCCAGGCCGTGCCTCTGTCTCGTAACATCAGTGTAATCACCACAATCATCACAATTAAACCACTGCACGCCGAGACCCTGGAGGACTCATTTACTTTGGAAGGGTTAGCTCCAGCGGTAGCCAACAAACATCACAAATTATGAGTAATCAAGAAGGTTTTGACAACTGACAACTGCTCGACCGCACTTCAGCTCGAGCCGGAGAGATGGTTTTACATTAGCGTGCAAACTGCAGCTCTGCGTTCACTCGTTACAGTCTTTAGTCTTTATTTATCACGTGCCATGTCAACAGATCTGACTCATTCTCAATTTTCCAGTCGCCTTTTTGATCATAAACAACTCACCGATGGCCTGCCGTGCCCGATTTGGAACCTTACCTGATTTGACTTAGTGTTTCAAACTGAGCATACCCAGAAAGTTTGGCACAAGCACTCGAGTTCCTATAGTAACTCTATTTTGGACCAGTGGAGGTTGAAGTACCATATTTTTCGGACTTTAAGTTACACTTTTTTTCCTGCTTTGGGTGTTTCCTGCGACTTATACTCCGGTGAGACTTATACATTAAAATGTTCATACTAACAGGTGCAAGAGGCTGCAGAAAGAGCCTCTGTCCTGTCTGTATCATGTCAGTCGATCGCACCATTACCATTTTAAAGGAACTTATTAAGATGACTGAGAAGACTGAACACAAATGCCCCCAAAAAGAAAATCATTCTTTTGCAAATTACAAGCTGCAAGTAGGGAAATCTGCAGCCAAAAACTAATCGAGCAGCAGAAAGAAAGTTTGGAGTGAGTGAGAAACTTGTGACACCGGGTGGATGCACCATGAAACTTTCCTGAAGTCACTGGATGGATGGACAAAGCCTGGACTTCAGTGACACTGAAACCATCCTGTCAGGATTCAGAAAGACCCGAATAATTCTAACTGGAACTGATGCTGAGTCTGACGACAGCGACACAGAAGAGGAAGCGGCGCTCTGTTTACCTCCGGAGGTCGAGGCCGAGTTGTTCAGAAGTGACACAGAGGATGAAGAATTGAATGGATTTAGTGATTTGGAGTGAGATGGAGAGTTTGGTAAACTTGTTCTGTTCTGTTGTTTATGTTATAGTTTATCTGAAGAACTGTTCATATGTGATGTTAACAGTCTGTTGTTCTCTCTTCTATTGTTATTACTACAACTTGACTTTCAACAGGAAATGTCAGTTCCTGGTCTCTGATTTAATAAAATAAATTTCCCCCCAAAAGATGTCACTTATATATATATATATATATATGTTTGTTTGTTTTTTTTCTTCATTACGCATTTTTTGGCTCGTGCAACTTGTACTCTGGAGCGACTTATTGTCCAAAAAATAAGGTATTAAATTTTGTTACTTAAGAAAAAGTACAGATAGAAAAAGGTATAAAAGTTACTCAGGTAAAAATATCACATGAAAAAATTTACTTAAAAATGTATGAGTGTAAGAGTAATTACTAAAAGTGTTTTGCAGAGATTTTTAGAACAATTAGAAGGATGATATGTAGTGATTTTGAAACACTGCAAATGATTTCTTAATTTACCTTCCTCTGAACAAGCAACACAACCGTAGCTGTAACTAAATAATTTTGTCAAATACACCAAAAAGGCAATATATCGATACAGCAGCCCATGATATCAATACTGTATCATCACATTAAACAATATGATATATCGATATTTCAATATTTTTGCATAGTTGTTGCCAATACAACACATAGGTCACGACACAATGTCTGTTGATACAGTGCACTTTCAGCACTTTTGATTTCAATACGATTTGATACGATATATTTCAAATCAATCTGACGGTTCAGTAAAAAAATAAAGGCTAAATCATGTCTGTGATGCTAAAAGTCTTTATTAAACCATTAAGTTTGTTAAGTTAATATGGAAAATCACCTATTTTACTCAAAACAATGAAAATGTCAACACAATTGTAGCTCTTACACAAAATAATTTGAATAATAAAATATATCTAAAAATACTCTTGGCGATATATCGATACAGCAGCCCATGATATCGATACTGTATCATCAAATTAAACTATGTGCTATATTGATATTTCAATATTTTTGCACACCACTACTAACCCAGTTGCTGTAGAAGAATAAAAGTTGCACTATGTCACTTTTCTGGTGGAGGCTCAGACATGTTTGTTATGTTGTTGTTTCGTCTAGGATGCATTCTTACTGTGAGTGGAGTCGCCTCTCCACAGATCTGACCTTTCATTTGGCTGTCCTCCATGGAGTTAAATTCAATGCCGTACTGTGGAACATTCCAGACAAACCAATAACATCTCCATAGACATAAGCAGGTGTCAGATCCTTTACACCATCTACTTTTAAATGTTCACAAATGCTCAATTTAATGTTTTTTTTTTAAGTCATGAAGAACTAACTTTATTATTATTATTATTATTATTATTATTATTTATTTATTTATTTATATTGGATTAAAAAAACAAAACAAAACAGAATTGGACTGAGGGAGAAAGAGAGCAGGAGAGAAACGAGGGGAGGAAGAGAAAGGCGACAGGTGTAATACACCCTTTATTCCAGCAGAGGGCGCAGCATCACCAGACTTCAGTGTTGAGGGTTAACTATAAATTCAACACATTCCACACTCAAAGAAACTGTACGTAACTTTTTTTAATTTTACTTTTTTGATTCTATAAACATGACCCAATTGTGTCCCTATATATGAGGTGAACATGTTCAAATCAAATATAACTTTTATTGATAACTATTCTAATGCTGATTTATTATTAATCACAAAAAAAAAAAAAAACCTCTGGAGAAATATAATATGGTGTTTATCCAATCAGAAAGCAGAATGAGCCTCGGATAATCACAGATAATACTCCCTACAACTGCACAACAACTCACCCTTATGTAACCGATAATACTCCCTACAACTGTACAACTCACTCTTATGTAACAGATAATACTCCCTACAACTGTACAACAACTCACCCTTATGTAAAAGATAATACTCCCTACAACTGTACAACAACTCACCCTTATGTAAAAGATAATACTCCCTACAACTGTACAACTCACCCTTATGTAACAGATAATACTCCCTACAACTGTACAACTCACTCTTATGTAACAGATAATACTCCCTACAACTGTACAACAACTCACCTTTATGTAAAAGATAATACTCCCTACAACTGTACAACAACTCACCTTTATGTAAAAGATAATACTCCCTACAACTGTACAACTCACCTTATGTAAAAGATAATACTCCCTACAACTACAACAACTACCCTTATGTAAAAGATAATACTACAACTGTACAACAACTCACCCTTATGTAAAAGATAATACTCCCTACAACTGTACAACAACTCACCCTTATGTAACAGATAATACTCCCTACAACTGTACAACAACTCACCCTTATGTAAAAGATAATACTCCCTACAACTACAACTACCTAATACTCTACAACTGTACAACAACTCACCCTTATGTAAAAGATAATACTCCCTACAACTGTACAACAACTCACCTTTATGTAAAAGATAATACTCCCTACAACTGTACAACAACTCACCTTTATGTAAAAGATAATACTCCCTACAACTGTACAACAACTCACCCTTATGTAAAAGATAATACTCCCTACAACTGTACAACAACTCACCCTTATGTAAAAGATAACCCTGTGTCCTGTCAATCATCATGTCATTGTTGCGTTGTTTTCCTGTGACCCCTTGTATAAAACTGAGATTTTTATATTTTATTACTTATCTTTCTTTTTTATTTTGATTTGTACATTTACATTATTTATATTTTTATGTCTTATTTGACACCTGTCTCTTGCAATCTCTTGTGTTACTAGAATGTATTATTACCATTTATATTTTTTGCATCATATTACATTGTGATGTGTGACTCCTGTGTCCAAATCATTTCCCCTATGGATCAATAAAATTTGTTAAAGTCCAAATCCTCCATCTGTAGGTTAATGCTCTGGAATCTCAAGTTCAGTTGTGATTGCAGTGCAGTATTTATGCGATTGCAGTACTTTCTTACGGAAGCTGAGAGGGGTCACAACAAACAAACAAAAAGCTACAACGGAAATGACCGCGGGACTCTATTTTAATGCAAACGCCGCAACAAATACAAACACCACAACACAAACGCAAATGCCCCAACACATTAAAAAGCCCCAACACATTAAAAAGCCACAACACATTAAAAAGCCACAACACATTAAAAAGCCACAACGGAAGTGACCGCGGGACTCTATTTTCCGACGGACCGATCAAGCGGCAAGTGAAGAAGAACTACAACGTGAAAAGTAAAGGAACGGAGAAGTTATTTATTGTTTTATCATTCATTTCACGTTGTAGTTCTTCACTTGCCGCTTGATCGGTCCGTCGGAAAACAGAGTCCCGCGGTCACTTCCGTTGTGGCTTTTTGATGTGTTGTGGCGTTTGTATTTGTTGCGGCGTTTGCATTAAAATAGGGTCCCGCGGTCATTTCCATTGTGGCTTTTTTTTGGTTTGTTGTGGCTTTTTGTTGTGTTGTCGCATTTGTATTTGTCGCGGCGTTTGCGTTTGTTGTGACCCCTCTCGGCTTCCGTACTTTCTTTTTCTTTTTTCCCTGTAAAAGCTCCGACTACACACAGCTCCTTTAAAAATAAAAAGTCGGATATTTCCCACATGCTTTCTTGAAACTTTATTGATCTGTACAGCAGCATTACACAGTAATCAGTTCATATATTAACCTCATACATATTTAAGATTGTAAACATTCCCACAACAGCAGAGACCCACAGTGCACACAATATAACAGACAAAAACACAAAAATGCATAGTCTTCATTCAGTTTTACAATCAACACCATGACAGAAGAGAGAGCGAGAGAGTGCACGACAGCAGGAGTTTGTGTTTATGGAGTTTCTGAGGTATATAGGTATTGTCTAGCATGGTTCATTTGATCGTTTTCCAGAATTTTAAAATAAATGTTTATCCACCTTCTTCCACGCCGCCCACTTTTGTCTCTAAACGCTCTTAAACCTTGCTTTTTTTGTGGTGGCACTTCCAGTTAAATGGGGATCCCATTCGTGAGAATTTGGGAAACGTTTTGCATCTTAAATACGACAAAAAATTTTCATGTGCACCAACCACCAACTAAGTCACACTGCAGCTATTCTCTGTGAGGCTTTAAAACGGATTTATCGTCCAGATTGAAATGACCATAAAATATCAAATAATTGCCGGGTTTAAATTTGCCGCCAGGTCCTCTTTAAACGCAAAGTGCAGGTGTATATTTTGATAAATAACCGCCGGTTCCAAATAAATGGCAAGTCTAATGTATTAAAAAAAAAATCAAAAAAACAAATCAAGCAAGAAGACGTGACCACTGTCGCTGCATGTTTTTCTTCTTCGCCTGTTTTGTTTTGCTTAGTTTTTACGTAGCCTATTGTGCTTTCTTTGACCACACAGTTGATCGCCGTGAAAAAAATATAAGATATAACTTAAATTTAAACTTTCTGTGGTATAAAAGAATGAGAACTCCGCACATCAGTTACTAGAGATGGGTGCGTCGGAGGAGAGGGAGCACTTTCTGTGGTAAAATACGCAGAGGAAAACTCCGGAGAAGCAGTCGCGAGACGTTTTTCTGTTGACCCCAAGAGAGTGAAAGATTGGCGAAAAAATCAATCGGAGCTTCAGCGTCTGTGGAGGATCATAGAGTGTATAAAAGAAGTGGACTAAACGATTGTGACGTCACCCGTCAGCATTTACAAAGAGAAGAGCCACAAGATCCTAACGTAAGTCCATTGGAGCCTAGAGTCAGAAGGAGCCGGAAGAGCCTCCTGGAGAACTTCTTATTTGGCTCACGGCGGAGGAGGACGGCAAAAGGGCCAAGCTGCATGGAAGAGGTATGAAGAAGACTAGGACTTTCAGGAGTTTTGGTAATTTTACTTCAATTCGGCGAGTGGGAGGAAGCAGCAGTGCGATCGTAGCTGCTGTGGCGTAAGAGGAAAGTTGTGGCAAAGGAGCGAGGAAAAGGCAGGGGACGAGGCGGCAGGAATTGTGCTGATGAGGTCGGCAAAGTGTACGCCAGGCCATCGTATAACGGTGACGCCCACCAAAAGTCATGCTGTAAAAACTGTAAATTATAGAATTTGAGGACCATATTTACGCAGATTTTTGTGAGGAAGGAATTAATTCCCTGCCCCAATTTGTCGCCTGGTCTCAAATAAATGCCTGGTCTGTGAAGTGACTATTATTTTTTTATTATTTGGTATTTTACAGTATTTACTGTCAAGATTGGCACCATACAATATAATACAACCTGAATCATGATGGAGCACCCACGACTTCCGGAATAAGGTGGATAGTCAGCTTTATGTTTAACCGTATTGCATATCAAAATACTAACACCAACATGTCAGAGGAGGTATTCAAGTCAGTGCCTCAGGATAGCGGGGAGGAGTGACAAAGAAAAATAATACAGCTTGAAGGCAGCAGTAACACGGGTTAAATTGTCTCTCAGCAACACAATATAAATTAACATGTTTTACTTATTACATTGTCCTAGGTTTGTACAGAAGAGTATTTAAAGCTGCACTGCGGAACTTTTCTTGTGGAGCTTCGATGTTATTGTTAATGTTCCACAGTATCCAGGGTTCCTACGAGATTCTTCCAAGTTAAATTCAAGTCTTTTAAAAGAAATTTTTAAGACCATTTATATAAAAAAATGTGTATCTTTTTCACGGCCTATTTCTTAGACCTACTGGCAAAGAAAATCAAAATTCTTTAATTTTTGTTCATTTATTTCTCAAACAAATGTGAAAATGTGTTCTCAATTACACCAGGTCAAGTTACAGGTCAGATCCGTGGAGAGGCGACGTCGCTCACAGTACAAAGTATTTTTGAGCAATAAAACACCTATAATTGAATAAATGTTAAATAGAGAAGTTTAAAACCGTACTGTGGAACATTCCAGGCAAAGCACTAATATCTCCATGGAGACAAGCCTCTCCACTAGAAAAGTTACACAGTGAACCTTTAAAAAATGTTCTACAGTGTGTTTAAATAGTCTGATGGAGTGTAAACGTACTACATAAGGAATCGTTATTTTTTTCCTATAAATTTGAATAAATCGCTCATAAAATCATTAAAAATTATCTTTCAAAATGATAAAACTCCTATAATCTACTAGTGCAAAGTCGATATTATGATTGGTCACTAAATCTCTTGAATAGAAGTCAGGGTACTCAAAAGTATCTGTGTACTTACTAATAAATATATCTGAAGTAGTAGTACACTTGGAGTGGCAACATTGGGGAAACAGAGATAAAAACTATATATAAAATAAAATGAGTAGTTTCAAAGTTTCAAAATAAAACCCTGATTGCACAAAACGATGAATGAACTACAGCAATAGCGTCAAACCTGAAGGAGTCTCCCATCCCCAGACATTCAAAATAAAAGCATCTCCACCTGCCTGTCAAAATAAGAGCTGTGCGTGAGTTAAAAAGACTGGAATTCAATGTTTTACCTTGATTTTGAAGTAGGTCTGATGAATCTACTCTGAAAATTCACAATACCTAAATAATATTCGATTTACCACAATATTTTCTGCCAGATTTCAGGTATTTTAGTGTTTTTATAATGAAATTTGAACATTTGACTGGCAGCCAAAACTAACAAGACTACTGAATTACACATTCATTCAAGTCATTTTAACTCATGTAGAATTAGAATTGTATTTTTTCCAGTTTAGATTTTTTTTCTAATCTAATAAATTGTAATAAGGTAAAAAAAATAAAAATTAAAAATCATTGTAACTGAAATATGACTTTTTGCAGTGTAGGTAATTACAGAACTCTAATAAATTGAGTTGAAGTGAATTAAGGTCGTTTTTGCTGATGTAGACTTGTTGATTTTTTTTAGACGCTCATTTCTTCTGGCAGTACGACTTGTAGCTGTTGCAGGCTTTTTTCATGTCCTTTAAAAACCCCGGGACTCCACTCTGACAAAAACACCATCACAAATGTCACAAATAATATTAATATAAATACATTTTAAAGCTATAACTGTCAAATTTAACATTTTAACCAAATAAAGGTTAAAATGAAAAAGGAAACACATTTTCACTCCCTGCAGTTGCCAGCAGAGGGCGACACATGCTTAATGATGCTCAAGTATCGTTTAATATGGAGTTCTACAAATACATATGTACACATTCTGGTGGATATGGCGAATTATTTACTCTTAATAACTTTTAATGACTGACCTTAGCTGCCCAGTTGATGAGCCATGTGGGGATGGAGCCTCCAGGATTGTCAAAGTAATGCATGAACACTGGAACACAAAGGAAAATAAATTCATTTTATTGAATTAATTTTGATATATTAGAAAAAAAAAAGTATTCTAGTCTCCATGCAGATTGATACAGTTAATATGATACTGACATCACAACATTTGATTGGTGGTTTTCAGATTTCACTTTTCAGGAGACAAGGGCCACTTTTCCCTGTTGATTACATCAGACATGTCACACTCAGGCCCGTGGGCCAAATTTGGCCCATGATATAATTATAGTTGGCCCGCAAGATCATATCAAATTTAGTTAATTATTTCAAACCTGCACATAATTCAATTCACATAACAACATAATGACATAACGTATTTTCCAGGCTATTAGTCACCCTGGATTATAAGACGCACTGTCATTAAATGGTCTATTTTCCAACTTTTTTCACAAATAAACTGCGCTGGACTTTAAAGGAAACCCAACAGTGTGATGGGTGAGTGGTTTTGTTTGTTTGTGGCGTTCACAGTGACTCTGGGCTTTGTTCAGTTGTGGTGTGTAGGGAGGGTGTGTCTGGGACCAACGGATTGTCGGCGTGTTCACAGTGACTCAGTTGTTCAGTTGTGTCTAGAAGTGGCACATTGCACTCGCTTTTTCAGTTCGTTCCTCCGTTCCGTTCCTCGTTGGTGTGGAGTGATGAGTGTGTCTGTGGGTGTTTTTGGCTGTGCGGTCGCTGTCTGCTCCGTGTGTGTTTGTGTGTTCTGTGGGTGGTGTGGTTTGTAGTTTACTGAAGTCGTGCTGGGACACCCGAGTGGATTCATGTATAGGTGCTCTGGATTGCGGGTGCACGGTAGTTTTTTGATGGGGTTAGAGGCTTAAGAGCGCGTCTAATAGCCCAGATAATATGGTAAATACAGATACAACTGTGCATGGTTTGAAAAGGGGATGGATGAAGCAAAGCCTTTACATGAAACATGCTTTTACATCAAATATGTATTAGAGCTGGTCCACCGGCTACAAACGGGCTATAGAGACATTATTTATTTAAAATGTTGTTATTGTTTTATATTATGCTTGTTCTGGATTCATTTTTAAGTAAAACTATTATTAAACATTTATGAGAAAAGGTTTTAAATTACATATCTCAAAAGAAGAGAAAACATGCAGATGTTGGTGAAATTGTTCAATAAATATTTTGTTTGGCCCATGACTTGGTTTCAGTTTTTAATTTCAGTCCTCTGTGAATTTGAGTTCGACACTCCTGGATTACATTGTACTGTGCCATGAAATATCCAAAAGGTAAATTCACAGAATGTTGAACTTGGTATTTTCAATTATTGACTAAACTCAAGAACTCAGTGTATTACAACATAATTTTGCATTTTAACAAAACGTTACTGTCAACAATGTTCAACTTAATGTCTCCTCAGTCACGAATAAAGCAAAGTGCAACATGTTAACTGTAAATATTCAAAGACTTAATTCATTTATATTATGTATTTTCTGTTTCTCATGTGGCCCCAGGGAAAAAAAGAATTGCCCACCCCTGATCAAGTACAATAACAGAATTTAAAATACATCAAATCCAGTGTAATGTGTATGTATGAAAAAGAAATCTAAGCTGCTGCACATAAAAGTGAAGATCTCTGTTTGCAATTGATTTTTTGATTTGTGATTGAAATTAAATGTACTGATTTGAAATATTTTAAAGTAACTCTCAGTGTGAATCTGGAAAAGATTACATCACAATATCACTGTATTGTAAGGCATTACACGACTACTGCATTACTATTAAGTGACTATGTCCATTCATATATACAGTCTATGAAACAGACTCTCGTGAGGAACTTCTCTCACCTTTTTACTTTTAAAGAACACCTCAAACTGGATTAACAGAGCTGTTTGTGGAGTGGGGGTCATTATTTGCAAAGGACAAATTCTATGGACAATGTGGATGAGATGCCGCAGTTTATATTTACAACTTTACGAGAGGTGAGAACCATTATTTTCACTGTTTCCTTGAGTTTGTATGTTGCGTCTCTGTGTCCGTCACTCCTCTGCCCCTGACGTTTTATTGTCTGTTATCGTAGTGTTGCTGCTAATGTTTGGTGGTTATGATCTGACAGAGCAGCTCAGAGTCACACTCACACCACACTCACACACACACACACACACATACACACACACACACACACACACACACACACACACACACACACAAGGAGCACAGCGGCTTCAAAAACTCGCTCAAAGTCAAAAGGCACCCCGATCGCAGCCTAAATGGGGCAAATTCTCCTGCAGTGTGTGACCGCCTTTAATAATTCATGTGACGTGATTCCCAATGACGTTGTGTATCTTTTCTGATCGGATGTTTCATTGCTGCTGATCTCACGCTGATTTTAGTGAATTTGTATGAAGAAAAACAAAAAACTCACCATTTCCATCCAAGTTAAAAACTGATTGTAACTGGATGGATTGTGTTACTGACCTTTGTATGAAGTAGAATATAATTTTTTTTTAGTATAGTATAGTGGCAGCAGATACTGACACACAAGACTAGAGCGCCCTCTCATGGCTGTCAGTGTGAAAATGTTAATATTTAAGTCGCACCAGAGTATAAATTGCAGGAAACACCCAAACCATGAAAAAAAAGTGTGACTTATAGTCCAAAAATATGGTACCTGTTTTTTTTTTGTAACACCTTACATTACTGCGTTCCAGCAAAAAGCAATGCATCACAGTAATTTGTTACTTTTGTACTGCGTTACTCCCAACACTGATCAATATTTTCTTAAAGAATGCTGTGATGTCATCTGAAACCCAGCAGTGGGCCAATAACACAGGAGAGAGCTAAATTCATTTACCTTTTGGATATTTCATGGTAAAGTACAGCGTGATCAACAGAGAATCTGTCTCCTGTCCCTAATCTGGGAGTAGAACATCATCACATCCTAGAATCTGAAAACCACCAACAACTCATTTTCACTGGGTGTTTCTTACTCTTTGTCCCTGAGGCTCCGTCGCTCTCGATGGCCAGGCTCTGTTTGTAGTCGTTCACCCGGATCACTCCGCTGGTCTCTGGGCACGGGGTCTGAGGAGCGCTGCGGGCCAGGACCACGAAGATCCTCCTCGCGTCCACCTCCAGGTCTCTGCGCTCACGGATGTACACATACTCACAATGATAAGGAAAACATCTCTTCTGCCAACTGACCCTCTCATCTGCTCCATCTGACCCTCCCCCTTCTTCTTCTGCTCCATCTGACCCTCTCATCTGCTCCATCTGACCATCTCCCCTTCTTCTTCTGCTCCATCTGACCCTCTCATCTGCTCCATCTGACCCTCCCCCTTCTTCTTCTGCTCCATCTGACCCTCTCATCTGCTCCATCTGACCATCTCCCCTTCATCTTCTGCTCGATCTGTTTCTCTCCTCTGCTCCATCTGATCCTCTCATCTGCTCCTCTGACCTTCTCCCCTGCTCCTCTGATCTACTCCTTTGCTCCACCTGACCTTTTCCTCTGCATCCTGTGCTCCTCTGCATCCTCTGACCTCTCCTCTCCTCTCTGACCTCTCCTCTCCTCCTCTGACCTCTCCTCTGCATCCTCTGACCTTCTCCTCTGCTCCTCTCCTCTGACCTCCTCTCCTCTCCTCTGACCCTTTCCTTTGTTCCTGACCATCTCTTCTCCATTAACGCTCTCCTCTGCATCCTCTGCTCTTCTTCTCTCCTCCTCTGACTCTCTCCACAGCTCCTCTGTTCCTCTGACCCTCTCCTCTCATTCATCTCAGAAGGATACGTCTCGGTTGGACAGAGGAAACGGGTATTTGACCTCCCAGTAGATGGCCTTCTGTCCACCAAAGTCCTGCTCGTACAGCTCTGGGACAAAAGAAAAAGAGAAAAACATTTGTACGTGAACAAAAGACATCACATTTATACAAAACTTTGACTAATCACAACAACCACTGCGGGACTTGAGTACTACAAACTAACTACTGTACAGACGATCACACTAGTCTGAGTTACCTTTAGTTTACAGCAGTGACGCTTGGAGTGAACGGAAGGAATGAAATGAACAAGAAAACAGGGAAATGAAGTTTGAGACATGAAAGAAGGAAACATATGCACAGTTTTAACACTCATATATTATAAAAGCCGCTGTTGAGGTCAAAATAGTTGGCTGTGCACTGTCTGTATCTAAAGCACTTGATAATCAGGAAGTGCATGTTAGTGTGCTAGTTGTTTGCATTGCAGTAACGTCAAAACTCCGCTCTGGTCTCTGAGAGTTGTGACAAGCACTTATTATGATGATGTAAGGATATGATAATACTAAATCTTTATTTATAAAGCACTTCTAAAAACAAGGTTTACAAAGTGCTGTACAATCAGAAAGTGTACAAAAACAGACAATGATGTAAACTATTTAATTAATACATGCATCCCGAATTTTGTACTTCCTGTCATTGGGCAATGCAAACTGGGGAGGATCCTCCGAGAAAGTGAGTATCAAACCGCCATGTTTGTTTTCTCAGTGCGATGTGTCTATTGTCAAAGTCAATCTTTTCTAGTCTTTTGAACGAACCATATCATTTTTGTTTCTGGTTCTGATATTGTCATATTTTAGTGTTGGGATTCGGACATCATAATTGTGTGGTTGTTGGATCCTAACAGCGGAAAACGGCTCGAGAAATGGGCTTCAGAAGTTTGCGAACTCCATAAATGCAAAAGGGAATCAGATGTGTGACTGCAAACTAGGGATGGGCATGATTAGTCGATTCATCGATAATTGATCATTAAGAATTTCATTGATTACGTTCATTTTAATCGACAAACCGAATGTAGGTTGCTGTGTGTATCGTGACCAAACGGGGGTCCGGAGCGAGCAAACACAAACAGTCGGTCAGTCTGCAATGTACTGAAGCACAAATGCACATTTAACGATGACTTGTACAAGAAATTCCACGCTTTCCATTCCGGTCGGGACAAGTGGGAGTCCATGTGCACAGTGTATAAAGCAGCACATATGTGTCAGTGTCCAGTGGTAAAAAACTTTACCAGGTGAGAGTAGAGCAATGTCGATGACAAGGCCCCACCTCCCTCCCCCCGTACGGTGTCCTGGTTTTGACAAACGCAAATCTGGTCACAATAACCTGTATTCACCTGAGTCGTGTCTTTTAATCCAACAGAAATTGCCACATCAACGACACAAGAGCTGTTTCTTTCCCTTGCTTAGTTTATGCAAATGAGCCATGCGGTTTTAAGTTTTGTTTCTGTGAGAGTTGCGCAAAGCTTATAATGTCAAACGGGCTGATGTGGCTCTAGAGTCGTTCTGGTTTATATGTCATAAAGTTGAATTTATTTATGCAGATTAGTAGTGCAGATAGTAATAATAATGATGATCATTTTAATATAAAAACGTTAATGATTAATTGATAATTGATCGTTAATTCTTCCGACGATCGATTAAAAAAATTTAATTGAATGCCCATCTCTACTGCAAACCTCCATTCAAACTGTTTCCCTTCCCAACGGAATTGAAAAATAGTGAAAGGTGAAGGCGATGGGCAGGATTGATCCACAGGAAGGACAAAAAAGGAAACCTTTGACTGCATAAATCATTCCGAGTTTGCAGTGAACATTTTGTATGTGGAGCAACATCAAAGCAAAATCCCGTTTGTTAAGTGAGAGGTGCAGAAGACAAACAGACTGAGCTGCACTTTCTTGTTCTTGTGGTTTTACAGCAACATCACGTCTTGGTCTCTTTGCAGTGGAAGGTGTTTCTTTGCTTTGGTGTTGACTTTTTAAATTCGTAACCAAGGTGGAGTGAGGGATGGGGATTTTGCTTTGATAGTGCTCCACATACAAAATGTTCACCTCGGGATGATTTCTTCCTCTTCACTGTTTGAACCTTGGTCAATGTAATGTCTGTAATACTATGTGCACTGAAAAAATAAATAAATAAAAACTATTATATGGACATTTTATGTAATGTGTGAAAAACTAATTTAGTCTGCACTGAAACAGAGTAAAGGATCATGGTCTGTGTAGTTTTTTTTTTTTTGCTGCACCATAACTATGAACTTAACCAGAAGGATTTGTGATATTGTAATGGAATACAACATTATTGAGTGTGTTTACATTCGCATCAGTATCCCAGGTCTGACAGTAATCTGGATATGGTGCTTACCTGCGCACACAGAAAGCAGGATAGCCTACTCATATCTCTGTGTGCATGAGGATATTTAGACTAGTTGCTATAGTAACTATGGCACAGATATGGCAAGGAGCTAAACATGGAGCAACTGCTAATTTAAGGCTTTTTAATGGGTTTCTGACAACAAAAAAGAAGACATTCAATAAGACCATGAGACTGTGGAGCTGTCACAACTTCAGTAAAAGTTGTTTTTAACAGCTGAAAAATACAATAAAATACAAAGTCTCACAGCTTCGGTTTGGTTCAAGAGCAACACAAACCACCACAGAAATGAGCCTGGTGTTAAAATGTGGTTTTATTAAACAGGAGACTGCTTTATTTTGTCAATAAGTATAAGATATTATTATCTAAAAGGTTCTGGTAGGAGTTTGAGTCGAAAGGGAGGGAGGGAATCTAACTGCTCCTAGTGTTTTTGTTATTTGAGTTTGCACATGCTCAGTACAGCACCAGAGTTGAGAAATCAGGATACTGTGTCTACAATAGGGTTGGGCGGTAATACGGTATTACTGTAACTACTTTTAAGGTACTATGGTATCTACAGGTTCCTAATTTTTGTAACAAAGGTATCAGTTTCATTACTGTCATTTAAAAATCTGCAGCGAATAAGGACCTTATATAATATTATAATTTACTGATACCTATAATTGCTCAACACAAATGAATGTGTGGTTGTATTTTCAGTTTAATGCATCACGATTTAAAACTAGTAGTGTCTATAATGTTTCTTGGGGAGATGATGTTCGATTAGTTTTGTTCCGTTGGCACGTGACGCTCATAAGGGAGACCAAGACAAGACGGAAAGTCAGGCCGCAAGCGAGTTGATCCCAAAAAAATACTAGTACTTCTGCAGTTTGGCAGCATTTTGGCTTCAGGTGCACATTTGTTTACATTTTACAGAAACAAAACTTAAAACTAGTGATGGGCGAAGGGAGCCTCGTGAAGCATTGACACCTCAGTCGCAATATTGTCTCAGAGAAACACTGACCTCTAGTGGACAAATTTAACCATTGGCACACAGGTGTCTCAGCATCGATGAAGTATTGTTATACTTAATAATAATACTTGTGTGCAGAGCAAACACTGTACCTAACAACAACAATAATAATGATGATTTAAAATAATATGTAAAGAGCAACATAAATAACATGCTGTAAATAAGAAAATAGGTGTTACCTTGTTAGGTGGAATTAGATGAAAGTGATCCCAAACCATGGATCACTTTTTTCCACTTGTAGATGCCATTGAAAATGAAACAAATGCCAAAAGTCGCCAAAAGTCACCAAAATCACCACTAACGTCACACAATACTCCTCACTACCCAATATTGGGGCATCTTTTATAGTGTAGCAGTTTAGCGCTTGTTACACCACAGAAGTGCACTGAACACTCTGAAACACTCTGAACCAATCGCAGAGCGGAACATTCGCCGAGCCAATGAAACGCTTCGATACACTGAAGCGATTGACACGCAGAGCAAAGCAGTAGGGGGAGGGACCGACACTTCGGTCACGTGAGACGAGCTCCGAGGCAGTGCTTCGGAGCAATTTGTTTCAGAAAGAACGAGACGTGCTCCAGAGCTCCGTCTCATTTGCCCATCACTACTTAAAGCTCGCTCCTTATGCGCTGATGCAGTTCAGCTTCTGTCGGACACGACTCAGTGGAATATGAGTGTTCTTTCTGTGACAGAGGGGTGTTCTGCTGATGGTGAGTCTGTTCTGTGTTTCTATCACGTTGGAGATGGTTCATGTGAAACTTTTCAGAGATTATACGTCTGCAGGTCGTACACATAGACCATATAGCAGTGCGGCTTCGTAACTTACCAAAGTCATACTAAAACATTTTGGTAATACAGTAATACCCCAATAAAATACTGAGAAGGTTTAACAAAATTTGGATCCTGCCCAGCCCTAGTCTACAAGCCACAATCTCTTGGATACTATCAGAAAAACCCAGTGAGACTCTCCTGGTTTCTCTTAAGCGGGACACTGACACATCCAAGAGACTGAAATCAGAATACTGTGTCTACATGAACACTCACAAAACCAGGATACTAAAAAAACTGATCATAACCAGAAGACTCGAGCGCATGTATAGCCTCCGACAATACGATACCTAATTATCTGGGTTGTTACATCCTTGATATTTATGAGAAAAAAGTCTGGTATTTGAACATTTGAAATGTGATGACTTTCAAACCGCTCCAGTACTGTACATTCTCTTACCTTTGACGTAGGAGTCCCAGTGCTTCCTGTAGGTGAGGTCCATGTACACGTCCGCACACAGATCAGCAGGGCAGGTCTCCAGGATGCCAAATACTTTGTACTCGTAAAGACCCGTATCCTGCAGAAGAAATCTTACACTTAGACAAATGTATTATTATTTAGTGGATTAGGACTAGAGTTGACTAAAGAAACTCTTGTTGAACCAAAGACATGTCCTGCCAGTTGATTAATTAACTAAAAAGAGAGTGTGGCAGAAGCTCTCAAAACTATTCCAAGGCTGCGTCTCATTTCTCTTTCCTCTCTTCTTTCTCCTTGATTCCTCTCCTCAAGCCTCCAGTTTTCAGCTGTCAATCATGTGTCATATTAAGCAGCAACCCAGAGAAAACCACAAAATGAAGGAGTAAACCTGAGGGAGGCTTCAGCAGACACTAGGGCTATCAGGGAATTTCTCCTGCGGTGCGGTATAGCAGCTCAACAGTGTGGTATGGGATATCACCACATACCCCCCCATCCCCTTTTTACAGCGGCACTGAAAACTCTCTGATGATGCGCTTGTTGCACAGATGCACATGTACCTTGGTTGTTGCACAGATACAGCGTGGCCTCCCAAAGTGGAGAAGTAACATTTGGCTTTGGAACAAGTGCCGCTGCATCTCTAAAGCTCTCACTGTGGCAGGTAACGGCTGCGTTTACCTCCATGCGGCGCGGAGCTCTGCACCGGTCCTTCCATCTGTGGTCACCCCACACTCTATGCGGGCGCACCTCCTAGCCCGTCTCCACACTGAGTCCTGGTTCAGTTCTGTTTTAGTCCTGGTTTAGTCTTGGTTTAGTCCTCTTGGTTCAGTCCTGGGTTAGTCCTGGTTCAGTCTGTGGCGTGTGAGGCGCAAAAGTCCGGCATCTGAATCACTGTTTCTCCTGCTAATGCCTGTGAAGTGATGACAGTCGAGTCACATCTGTGAATTTGTATTCGTAATGAAGAAAGTGAAACTGTTTTTATTTCGTGACAGTTATTCTTGAAGTCGTAACTAGAGCCTGACCGATATATAGGCTGGCCGATATTATCGGCCAATATGGGCACCTGGAGACATATCGGCTATCGGCCGATATTCTTGCTGATAGGGGCCGATATTTCACGTGGGCATGTTATACCTCGTTATAAAGCTTAGACTCTCTACATTATGTTCATTTAATCCAATTTACAGACAGATAAATGTCCTCATATGTGGCTCCACATCAGTATTTATCTACGGTGTAATTTGTCTGTGTGTCCGTACTGTCCCTGAACACACCACCAGAGTGACATCACTTCACTCGCGTGTGTTTGTTTACACCTGCAGCCGTGCGCAACACTGAGATTATTTTCTTTTTCGGACAATCGGTTTGAGTCTGGATTAAAAGGACATTTATTAGTGCAGACTTGTGATGTGAGGAGGAGCCTGTGTGAGCGGTGAGTGTTGGAAATACATCGACTTTGAAGCTAGTTTAGGTTTTGTTAGCGGTTAGCTGCTGTAGCTCCCGCACATAAACAGGCTGTTTTCTATTGGTCTATTGTAAAGTGACTATATTGGCCGTATATTTGTTACTGGACCTGCACTGATATGTAAATGAGCTGTGAATAGACGTGTGAATGATCCACATTTATGCATATAATTAATTACCGCGGTGCGCACGTTTTTACGGCTAAAGGCTAATAGCGATAGTTTACTAGCTAGGAGTTATGGGTCGGTCGCGATCGAAGCGGCTCTTAGTGCCGACTCTTTGAAGCGAACAACAGGAGCCTGCTTCTTATTGGGAGCCGTGTTTTCTCTTTTTCTCACTTTTTCTCTTCATGCCGCATGTAGACCCGTAGATTGACAGCAGCAGCGGCTGAAAACGAAACTTTCAGAAATCTGCGTGTGCATAGGATTAAAAAAAAGTGCATATTTGGCTGCAGTTTAGCATAAAATGAATAAACCAGGACTAATCTTGGGCTTGAGTGAAGGAGAGAGATAGAAACAGAGTCCCGACACTCAGTCCTGGTTCAGTTCTGGTTTAGTCCTGCTTGCAGCAAAACAATCTCAAGAGTCGCTTGGGAGCCGAAAGAGCCAGCTGCTTTAGTGAGCCGAGCCGGTTCTCCAAAAAAAAAAAAAAAAAAAAACTGGAATACCCATCACTAGCAGTGACAGTAACAGTAGCTAGAATGTGATGCAAAAATGCCATTAGGCCAATCTACTGTATGTAAATATGATGTAAAGAGTCAAAATAACAATAAATGTTGCCTAAATAAACCCAATTTAAAATCCACTAGAGCCAAACCTAAGTTTTTTAATCAATTCAAGATTTACAGTGAATTTTTACATCACTAAATATATCGGCGATTATATCAGCTATCGGCAGCTCCAACTTCCATTATATCGGTTTCATATCGATCACAACAAAATCCATATCGGTCGGGCTCTAGTCGTAACTTTTCAATTTGTATTCTGATAGATGTTTCAGTTAGAATGTTTTTTGATTTGTGTGAGATTTATCACAGGCACGGGCAGGTAACGGGTGGAATGTTAACGGGTCCGGGCGGGTGCAGATTAAACTTTGATCAAATCACGGGTTAACAGGTGGGTGTGGTGCTGAACTGCGCGGCTCTCCAGAAATGAGCCCATGCAGGACTCTGAGTCGGGTCACGTTGGTCACGTGCAGTGATCGCAGTGGCCCAACATACACCGTGGGCCTTTTAGTATCGCGGTGATTCATTTTTGTGGTTATCGTGACAGCCCTAGACACCAGAGAAAAGAATCTAACTTTATTGGTCTCAGTGAGGAGTTTAGATCCTCTCTCCTCCCTGAGTCTACTCTGTGGGCGGGACTTCCTCACCTATTTCCCCCGAATCGAGGAAAAGAATCAAGGTGTAGGAAGCGAGGAAAGAGAAAAGAGACACGGCCATGGAATAGATTTGAGTTTCTGCCGTTCCCCTTTTTAGTCGATTTACGGCCAGTTTATACCAGTCCTAAAACAATAAAATCAGTAAAAAGCAAATAAAAGCAAAACCATAAAATCATAAATAGCAAAATAAAATAAAGTAAAGTAGTAACACTTTTAGCAAGTAAACATTTTGTTATCTTCGTTTTATGATCTCTGTGCAGCACTTTGGAAACTGCTTTGTCTGTAAAATGTGCTATAGAAATAAATAAAAGTGGATTTGGATTTAAGCTGATTTTTTAACAGATAAATACCAAAAAAGACCAAATCTTCAGCTACCTCACTTCTCCTTTCTGCTGTTGTCCCGTACAAATCTTTATAATCTAAGTAAATGATTATCCAGTCCAATTTATTTCTATAGCACAGTTCATAAACAGATTCCAAAGGGCTGCACAAATACACAGTAATAATATAATGATAAAATAAATGTTCAGATTGAATCATACGAGTCTTACAGGCCGGGAGCCCCTCAGGATGTTTTTAATACCTTTTTTCACTGTTATTTCCTGTTATCTTATATCTTGGGCCATAACGAGTTGACTGGGAGCAACCCCCAACTCGGCCCCGTTTGGTCTCAGGGCCCGTGATGTTGGTTGTGTGTGTTTGTGTGTATAACCTGGTCACCATAGTTTTCTCTGACCCTGACCCCTGTCCACCTGGAGCTTTCAGTCTAACACTTTTAAGTCTTCATTCTTTGGATTAAGTCTTGTGAAGGCATTTTAAGAGGAAACAGTAGCATATTAACAGTTTTGTTTGTAAGCCTCCACAAAATATCACAATAAATATCATACTGTGAGATGTACATCATGAAAATATTGTACAGAGATATTTAGAAATCGTTACATCCCTAATCGTGAGCTTTCCCACGATATCACAATAAATATCATACGGTGAGGTTCATACTATGACAGTATCGTTACACCCCTATGCATTATAACAGTGGCCTGCAAGTTCTTCTCTGCTGGCCTAATAAAATCTCTGAATCACAGACTGATGTTAATTATATTATTATTAAATAATTCCAAATGTTCTGTCCTCTTCCTTTCAGAGCTTTTCCGATGCTTGTGCTGCTTCCACACGTGGATTTTCATATTAAAGCTTTTGACCAATCACATTTCAGCTGTCACTTGTTGCTAGGCAGAGTCAAAGTCAAAGGCGTGTGCCTGAAGCCTTCACAATCTGTTCTTCAGGCCCTCGAACACAGAACAAATGTCCATGAAAATGTTGCTTCAACCAATCAGATTTTGAGTTGGTGTCGGCAGAGCCTTTAGCAGCGAACGACAACGTCACCAGATTCAGACCAGACAGAGAGCGAACCAGCCACAGCAGCAAACTGCATCTGTAGCAAAACCAGGACTAAACCAGGACTACACCAGGTCTAAACCAGGTCTAAATCAGGACTACACCAGGATTAATCTTGAACTTGAGAGAGCGAGAGAGAGAGAGAGAGAGAGAGAGTGTCAGCAAAGCGCGATCGGGCGACAGCTTTCGTCAGCAGTCACCCGACAGTCTACGCGGGTGCACTTTTGGGCCAGTCCGGACAAACAGTCCTAGTTTAGTCCTGGTTTAGTCCTGGTTTAGTCCTGGTTTACCCCAGCGCTCCTCACTTCTTCTCTGTGCACCGTGCGCCCCCTCTCTTCACCTCTCCGTGTACGGAATCTCCACGGCTCTTTATACTGTGTATAATTTAACTATAAAATAATTGTTGAGGAGTGGATTGTTTCAGACGGAGCACTACTGTAGACCTAGATATGAAACGCACGCTCCACCACTGCATTATTATTATTAAAGACTATTAATATTATGCTAAATTGAGTGAAGCATTTTAGCCTGACCCTCCACCATGGAAAAAATAAATGCCCACCCCTGCTTTATAACATGACACCACTGATGTTACGTAGTTACATATAGTATATTACGTATTACACAGTTTTGCTTCACAGTGATTACAGACATAGTCCCTCCAGCGTGGGACTGACTGTGGTGGAGATGTCTCTGGACTGGCCTGGGAACACTGTGGGGTCCCCTCTGAGGAGCTGGAGGAAGTGTCTGGGGTGAAGGAAATCTGGGAGTTCCTGCTTTTAGACTGCTACCCTGTGACCCGGCCCGTATAAGCGGAAGAAAATGGATGGATTGAGTGTTTAGTGTTTCAGTGTTTACTTCACCTCTGCCTTTTAGTGTTTAGGAGGATTAGTCCAGTGGAATGCAGGCGTTGTCAGGACGTCATTACTCATTCAGATTATGGAAATCAACAAAGAGGATAATAACTAAATTCCCACGTATTTAAATCAATGCCGTTTTATAAGTCAGATAGTTATTTCTTATTAAAATACCTTCATTCAAGCGTAATTGTGTAGTTTTAAGCGCTTTGAGCCGAGGCGAATCTAGTTTTGCACAATTTATGAAGGAAGTTTGGCAACAGGAATGTCAGGTTTCAAACTTCCACCTTTAACCACCAGGGTAAAATCACATGACATAATTTATAGCTCTTAAAATGTTCACTGCACGTATTCTTTTAATTTTAGTCCATGCATTTTATAAGTTTGCCAAATAAATCTGAAAAACAGCGCGTTGTGAGTCTTCCGTGAGCTCCGGCTCGTACACCGACTCTCCTCACTGACCGTATCCGCGTTGAGAGCGCTCGTTCTCCGCTGTTACCTTGTCGTAGAGCCGGTAGATCTTGACGCCCATGGTCTCGGTGAAGAGCTCCCATCCTCCGTCCAGCTGCGGCTCGTCCAGCTCCTTCCAGGCCGCTTGGAACTCTTCATCGGTGAACTGTAGCGCCATGGCCGGGGCTCGGTGCAGGGCAGGCGGGGCAGGAGCACCGGGGATCTCCGCTGCGGCGATGACACGAACCGGACAAGAGCGGAGGGAGAACCGGGGAAGACAGATTTCACAATAAAAGCGGAACACTTCCCACGGATATATGACAGAAAAAACCCATGGACTAGTGATCTTTAAAGCTGCACTGTGTAACTTTTATTTGTCTCCATGGAAATGTTAATGCTTTGGTTAAAATTGTTCACATTAGGGCATTAAACTTACCTGTCTTGCATTTATTCAACTACAGGTATAATTTATTGCTCCAAGTATCTTAAAAAAAACATAAATTCTTACTGGGAGTGGGGTCGCCACTCCACAGATCTAACCTGTAATTTGCCTTGCAAGTCTCCTACTTTTATAAAACGAAAATACCAGAGAGCTCCTCCTTACAGTGGTCACAAGAAATGAAGTAAATATAAAAAACACTGCGAGCCTTAGATGAGACACAGTTAGATATAAAACATAAACCCAGGGCTGTTGTTAGCCATTTTGGTGCCCTTCAGTGCACAGGACTGTGGAGAATATTTCACTGATGGAAAGAACAACATATAATCTTAAAGTGAAAGGGTACAAATGCGATGAGCCGTGGGAAAAGTGGAACGCATTCATAAATGACACCAGCAAAACAACATAGTACATTAAAGTGTCATCACCAAATGCATGTTGAAATAAGAACCTGTAAGTCCCACTGTTGTTACATTGTTTTTGAGTTATATTGTTTTTTTGTATGTTTTGAAATGTTACTTAAAACTAATAAAAACAAAGCTGATGAATGATGAATGAATTGTGTACAGTGGGCAAACCCGCAAAACCAAATCACACAACCGGTAGAGGCAGCCACTGCAAATAACCCAACCTAGAGGCTCACTGCAGTTGTGTAGATACAAAGTAGGAGATGTCCTGATCACATTTTTTTGCCCCCGAGTCCGAGTCTGAGTCCTTTGATTTTGAGTATCTACTGATACCGAGTCCCGATCCGATACTTCTATAAAACTTATGAAATGAACTAAGAGCAAAGAATAAGATCCAGGATGGGTGCGGGATCAGATTGTGTTGATTTCATGTGTCGTATTTGGGCTGAACTTAGTGTAAAAAAAAAAATAAAAATCAAATGTCCAAAACTTAAATTTTATTCACTTTGTTAACCATGAACCATCAATGTTGAAAATCTTGACTTTTCACAGTCTGGTCTTGGAATGTGTAACTTAGTAAACTTAATGAACTGGACAAAACAGGAACCAGACCAGAACCAGATCAGACCTGAGACTCTGCACAATCTACACTTTGTATATTTGATATTATATGGAAGTCTGTGCATTATATTTAAAACATTTAGGCCTGTCTATGATCCAAATAAAACAAAATCTTATCAAATAAAAATGAGATGACAGAAGCCCCCCCGCTACACGGACAATATGAAATGATTGAACATTTGTGTTTCTTGCAGCTTCTTCCTTTAGTTTTGTCTCATTTTTGTTTCTGTCCATTGAAAACTCCAGATTTCCAGCATTATTTCATGTTTTGTTCTTTAAATTACCTTCACTTCAAATTATAAATCAGATGTCACTCTTATTCGAGTAGTTTTACCAAATATTTTTTTTAACTCTTACTTGAGTAATTTCATGGAACACTTCTCCAGGACCAGGACTAAACCAGGTCTGAACCAGGTCTAAAGCTGGACTGAACCAAAATGAAATGAGGTCTGAATCAGGTCTAAACCAGGACTACACCAGGACTAAACAGGGACTGAACCAGGACTAAAGCAGGACTAAACCAGGACCAAACTAGGACTAAACCAGGTCTGAACCAGGTCTAAAGCTGGACTAAACCAGGTCTAAACCAGGACTAGCCTACACCAGGACTAATCCCAGGACTAAACCAGGTCTGAATCGAGTCTAAAGCTGGATACAACCAGGACTAAACCAGGACTTAACCAGGACTAAACCAGGACTTAACCAGGACTTAACAAGGATGAAACCAGGACTTAACCAGGACAAAACCAAGACTTAAAGCAGGACTTAACTAGGCCTAAAGATGGACTAAACCAGGACTTAACCAGGACTAATCCAGGTCTGAACAATGTCTTACACTGGACTAAACCAGGTCTTAACCAAGACTAAACCAGGACTAAACTGGGATTTAACCAGGACTTTACCAGAACTTAACTTTTTACTTTTACTTGAGTAATTTGACGGACCACTCCTCTGTACTTTTACTACTACTACTTGTACTAATACTATAATTTTAGAGTAACATTACACTTGGCCTACAGATCCTTTTGACTCTCACAGTTTCATTTTTATTTTACCCACCTCACATTATTCATTTGTACACAATCTTCCAACATGACATCTCTACTTCTTTCGTTTTATTTTGTAATCTCCCGACAGGAAGCTCCCCCTCCTCCTCCTCCTCCTCCTCCTCCTCCTCTTGTATTTCTTGAGGAGCTGTTTGTGAATGAGCCGCAGTCTGAAGTGTGCACAGACGTGAATGAGTCCGGCCCCGGGTCACCCCTCACCGGACCCGCTCGCAGCTCTCAAGACTTTCACTCTCCAAAAATACAACTGTTTTTTTTTTTTTTTTTTTTTTCAACATATTTTCAGAGATTTCCACGAGTGATTTCCTTTTTTTTTTTGCTGAGACGATTTGGAGCCTGAGTTGGGAAAGCATGGGGAACAGCTGTGAGGTGAGTGCACATGCCTGAGCCTATAGAAAGTCCAACTGGAGCCTAAAAGATTTCACTGTTTACAAAGTGATGAGACGCTTACAACTGTGACAAAACACACAAATGTGCACGTGTGAATACAGAATTCAGAAAGGCACAGGTGGAATTTTGGGTTTTCGTGTCAGGGATGGTCTAAAGAACAAGAATACTTCTACAGAATTTAAAAAAACAAACAAACAAACAAAACAAACAAACATAGAAAGTAAAAGTATGTTTAGAAAAATGAGGGTGAAAATGAGAGAAACAGACTCACACCAAAACTGAGGCTAAACTGAGATTAAGTCTGGACTTAACCAGGTCTAAACCAGGTCTAAACCAGTCTAAACCAGGTCTAAACCAGGTCTAAAGCAGGACTAAACCAGGATGTGACCAGGACCTAACCAAGACTAAACCAGGACTGAACCAGGAATAAACCAGGTCTGAACGAGGATTAAACCAGGACTAAACCAGGTCTGAACAGATTAAACAGTCTAAACCAGGTCTAAACCAGGTCTAAACCAGGTCTAAAGCAGGACTAAACCAGGATGTGACCAGGACCTAACCAAGACTAAACCAGGACTGAACCAGGAATAAACCAGGTCTGAACGAGGATTAAACCAGGACTAAACCAGGTCTGAACGAGGATTAAACCAGGACTAAACCAGGTCTAAATCAGGACTAAACCAGGTCTGAATGAGGACTAAACCAGAACTAAACCAGGACTAAACCAGGTCTGAACGAGGATTAAACCAGGACTAAACCAGGTCTGAACGAGGATTAAACCAGGACTAAACCAGGTCTAAATCAGGACTAAACCAGGTCTGAATGAGGACTAAACCAGGACTAAACCAGGACTAAACCAGGACTTAGCCAGGTCTGAACGAGGACTAAACCAGGACTAGATCAGAGCCAGGAGTAAACCAGGTCTACAGGTGGTCTAAAACTGAACTAAACCAGGTGTAAAATGGGACTAAACCAGGATTTAATCAGGATTTAATCAGGACTTAACCAGGATTTAACCAGGTTTGAACCAGGTCTAAACCAGGACTAAAGCAGGACTTAACCTGTACTAAACCAGGTCTAGACCAGGACTAAACCAAGACTAACCCAGGACTAAACCAAGTCTAAACAAGCATAAAGCAGAACTAAACCAAGTCGAACCCAGGTGTAAAAGAGGACTAAACTAGGTCTAAACCAGGACTAGAACAGGACCACACCAAGTCTACATCAGAATTAAACTGGGCTCAAACCAGAACCGAAAGAGAACCAAACTAGGACTAAACCGTGACTAAAAATGGAATGAACAGTTAGGCAAGACAAATAAAACCAGGACTAAACCAGGTCTAATGCGGGTGTGCACCTCAGTACTCGAGAGCGTTGTGTGTATCTATAAACACAAGACCAAACCAGGGCTAAAACCAAAACTAAACTAGGTCAAAACCAGGACTGAAGCTGGAGTAAAACAGGACTAAAGCAGGACTAAAACAGGACTAAACCAGGTCAAATCACACATTAGTCCTACTCTTAGAATTTGAAATGTGTGTAAAGAAAAGGGACTAACCAGGTCTAAACCAGGTCTAAAGCAGGACTAAACCAGGTCTAAACCAGGTCTAAAGCAGGACTAAACCAGGTCTAAAGCAGGATTAAAACAGGACTAAAACAGGTCTAAAGCAGGACTAAACCAGGACTAGAGCAGGTCTAAAGCAGGTCTAAAGCAGGACTAAACCAGGACTAAACCAGGACTAGAGCAGGTCTAAAGCAGGACTAGAGCAGGTCTAAAGCAGGTCTAAAGCAGACTAAAGCAGGTCTAAAGCAGGACTAAAGCAGGTCTAAAGCAGGACTAAAGCAGGTCTAAAGCAGGACTAAAGCAGGTCTAAAGCAGGTCTAAAGCAGGACTAAAGCAGGTCTAAAGCAGGTCTAAAGCAGGACTAGAGCAGGACTAAACCAGGACTAAAGCAGGACTAAACCAGGACTAGAGCAGGTCTAAAGCAGGACTAAAGCAGGTCTAAAGCAGGTCTAAAGCAGGTCTAGAGCAGGTCTAAAGCAGGACTAGAGCAGGTCTAAAGCAGGACTAGAGCAGGTCTAAAGCAGGACCAGAGCTCTTGGCCCTCCTCAGCGTTGGACCGGGGCCCTGTCACTGTGTATGTGTAAACAAAGGCAGAGGAAAATGATGAGTGTGCATAAACAGACGCCTGAGGAGAGGAGGAAATTAAAACCCTTCAGCCCATGTTCAACTCTGGGCTTAAACTGGTCTGGGTCTGGTCAGGGTCTGTCTGGGTCTGTTGTTGGTCTAATCTGGGTCTGGTCTGGGTCTGAGTCTGGGTTGGGGTCTGGTCTAGGGCTAGGTCTGGGTGTTGGTCTGGGTCTGGGTCTGTCCTGGGTCTGGTCTGGGTCTGGGTTTGATCTAGGTCTGGTCTAGGTCTGTCTTGGGTCTGAATCTGGATCGTGGGGGGTCTCTGAACAATAATTGTGCAGCTCGAGGGACTCAGGACCAAGATCTGCTCAAACATCTTTCACATTTCCATCCATGTTTGTTTCACTTCATATTCAGTGTTCTTCTGCCGCCACATCTGTCCTGGGGCAGACTGAGGGAAGTGAGCCTGTCAATCTGCACCATCAACCAACACTCACACTCACTCTTACACACACACACACACACACACACACACACACACACACACACACACACACACACACACACACACTCACACTCACACACACACACACACTCACAGTCACACTCACACACTGATGAAAAACACATGTCTTTACTGTGATGGGGTTTGCTTCTCCACAGACCTGACTCTTATTTGGCCTGGTTGGACAGTCTCCTCCTGCTTGTTTCCATGGAAATGTTGTTCCTTTGGCTATAATATTCCACATTTCGGCATAAAATAATAAATATATCCTCACGGAGAATGTTCCGGAGTGTGATTTTAACTTTCGGTGTCCGTAGGGTTCATCTATTTCCACTGTGTTAAGTTAAAGTTAAGGTATACTGTAAATCATTTTCTGTATTTGACCCATCCTTCAATGTCTCTGGGTTCAACCTACATTTGACCCATCCTTCAATGTCTTTGTGCTAAACCTGCATTTGACCCATCCTTCAGTGTATCTGGATTAAACTTGCATTTGACCCATCCTTCAGTGTCTCTGGATTAAACCTGCATTTGACCCATCCTCCAGGGTCTCTGGGTTAAACTTGCACTTGATCTATCCTTCAGGTACTCTCGGTTAAACTGCATTTGACCCCTCCTTCAGGGTGCCTGGTCTAAACTTGCATTTGACCCATCCTTTAGTGTCTTTGGGTCAAACCTACCTTTGACCCATCCTTCAGTGTCTCTGGATTAAACCTGCATTTGACCCATCCTTCAGTGTCTCTGGATTAAACCTGCATTTGACCCATCATTCAGTGACTCTGGGTTAAACCTGCATTTGACCCATCCTTCAGTGACTCTGGGTAAAACCTGCATTTGACCCATCCTTCAGTGTCTCTGGGTTAAACCTGCATTTGACCCATCCTTCAGTGACTCTTGGTTAAATTGCATGTGACCTATTCTACAGTGTCTTTAGGGTAAATCTGCATTTGACCCATCCTTCAGTGTCCTTGGGTTAAACCTGTCAGGAGCAGAGGGACCATCTCCAGGTCTTGAGTTAGTACTTGTCAGGACCTGAGCTGGAGGATTTGACCCGTGGCTCATGGTTTGGGTTGATGTAAAATAACAAGTCACATTAGTTCTCAACATTTTCATAAGAAACATTCAAATGAAATCAAAGATGCAGATGAAGATGGATGAACATGAGGAAACAAGTTGTCGTTTGTCAGCTCTGGAGTTCTCTCTCGTACCGGTCCGCGTGTATGTGTGGAGTGTGTGTGTGTGTGTGGAGTGTGTGTGTGTGTGTGTGTGTGTGTGTGTGTGTGTGTGTGTGTGTGTGTGTGTGTGTGTGTGTGTGTTTGTATCGTACATTCTGCAAAGTGGTCGCCCCCAGAGAATCCCTGCCTCTCCTGTTACATACCCCCCAACCCCCTCCACTTCCTCCCTCCTCTCTTCCTCTTCCCCCTCTCTCTCTCTCTCTCTCACTCACACACACACACACACACACACACACACACACACAGAAGAAGAAGTAGAAGTTGTGTGTCCATGCTTTTAGGGACGTTACATTGACCTCCATTCATTTCCTGGAGTCTGACCCTAACCTGATGTTATTAGGTTCTTTTTTCAGACCAAGCGTTTTGTTTTCAGAGTCAGTGAGCAGTCGGAACTGTCAGGGATGAAAACAAAACTCTTGGTCTGAAAAAAGAACCTAATAATGACCCTAACTTTAACATAAGTCGAACCTTAAACTATTTGAACTCGAAGTCTTAGAAGTCTCTAGTTTAGAGAGCACATTTTTATAACTATGTGCTAATTGCGCTTGTCATTTATGAATACTGTTGTTGTGTCCTTGGGCAAACACTTCACCCACCTCAGCCCCAGTGTCTGTGTATGAGTGTGTGTGGGTGTGTGAATGTTTCCTTGTAATAAAACGCTTTGACCTTTAAAGGTGGAAAAGCATTGTATAAAAAAATAACCATTAACCATTTAATTGTTAAGGGCCCTAGGGCCCCCAAAACCTTGAGGGGCCCCAAACCCTCTATTGCCACTAATGCTCAAGGCCTGAGGGCCCCAAACTCAAGTTCACCTAGGGCCCCTAAATTGCTAACTCCGCCACTGTTCAGGTATTAAGTCATATTTAAAGCAACAGTACCTAATAATACACATTAAGACAGTTAAGATAAAGTTTAGTTGCATCCAAATGATGAAAAATCAAACAACAACAACAAAAAAGTAAAACTGTATTTTATAAACAAAGATTTAATTCATTTCTAAGAATGCCTCTAGTTTGGCATTAATGTTTGGTGCCTAAACTCAAGTGTTGCCTGTTGATCTCTGCAGTGATGTCACACTGTGGGTGTTCTACATGTATCTCTATGTTGGAATGTTCAGCAGTGACCATGGTGACGCAATGCACATATGAACAAACACTGTCACTGCTTTTAGTTTTTGCATCACACTCCCAGGAAATGTTGATGACATCAGCCGCAAAGTGTCAATAAAGGATTTGTGTCATGATGAGAACCTGTGTTTTGTTCCCAGAAATGAGCTGAGTTCTTTGAAATGAGTGTGAGCGTTTGTTTGAGTCCCAACAATGTCTAAAAGATCCTAGATTACACAAAACGGACTCTTGTGTGCTTGAAGCCATGTTAGAGTGTTGTTACCAGAGGGGAACCCTCAGGGCCTTCAAGGCCCAAGAAAAAATATTGAAAACATTTTTGTACTACTAATATATTTTTTCAATATTTTTTATTCAATCAGTAATAAACACTACACTAGTAATAATTTCTAGATCACTGTTATAAACTTGGAATAATATTTCAAAATATAATATAAACAAAGGCTTAATTAAATGAAATGGAAACGGATCAATCACAAATTTTCTTCCAGTGGTACCCGGTCTAAAATCCTTCAGTTGTCTTATAATCATTCGCTCCGGCTCCGCTCTAGCTCTTCTTGCTCTGATTGGTCAAAGCGATCACGTGGTACGTGACCGTGCTCCGTGCATGCGCTCATGTGCAGTCACATGTGTGCGTAGGAGAAAAGACACTACTGCACATGCTCGGTCAGCCCACAGCCACAGGAAGTACCTCACTGGGCTAAAGGCGAATCTGGAATCATGCGCCATTGAGCTCGGCCCATTGACGTAAATGGGAGGCCATTTTGAAACCCCGGGGCTTCATTTGAGTCCCCGCAAGGTCTAAAAGATCCAGTATTACACAAAATGGACTCTTGTGAGCTTTAAGTCATGTTCTAATGTTGTTATGTCCTCAGAAACAGACCTGGAGCTGTGTTCACACATGTTTGAGAAACTCTTTATTATTAGTCTGTCTACATTTCCAAAGCAAATCATCTGTATGTGAATGGAGTTTAAAAACACAGTGGAGCATTTCCTGGATTACCACATGACATCACCAGGTGTTTTCCGTTTGAAAGAAGAAGTAAATGTGCAGGGTTTGTGTGTTAAACATGTGCGAATGAAACAAAACACAACTCCAGGTCTGTTTGTGATGAGGAAACAACATTAGAACACGGATCCGAAAACAGCATAATAAGTGCCCTATAAATACACTCTCTTTACCCTCTCTCCTCCCCCCGCCTCACGTCCTCTGTCTCGGGGAATGTCTCAGCTCGTGGAGGGCCGGAGCGCCTGCGTCAGAGCCCCGCGCAGGAGGACCAGGGTCAGGTTGTGAAACTGGGAGTAAACTTGAGTCATGTGGAGGAGACGGGCGCATGTGCTCAATATGGAACTATGGAGCGCACGGACGAGACACGAGACACGGGAAAAAACGACCGCAGGGATGAGACGAGACACAGTTTCTACGAGATCAGACGAGACACGAGATTAAGTCCTTGAGAACGAGACAAGACGAGATTTGAACATAATTCCTAATATATACATTGTGGTATACAGTAAAAAAAGAAGAAGAAAAAAACAGAGAACAACAGACTGTTAACATCACATATGAACAGTTCTTCAGATAAACTATAACATAAACAACAGAACAGAACAAGTTTACCAAACTCTCCATCTCACTCCAAATCACTAAGTCCATTCAATTCTTCATCCTCGGTGTCACTTCTGAGCAACTCGGCCTCGACCTCCGGAGGTAAACAGAGCACCGCTTCCTCTTCTGCGTAGCTGTCGTCAGTGTGTGTGTTTTATTAGTAATAAAATAGTAGTAGTAGTATAATGATTTGAACTGTGTTTTGGTCAAAATTGACTTGTAAGGTGCCATAAATCAGGCAACCTTAGTGTGACCATATTTGCGTTTGTCAAAACCAGGACACTGTACGGGGGGTGGGGGGTGGGGCCTCATCATCGAGATTGAGCGACTCTCACCTGGTAAAGCTTTTTCCATGTTTTTCGGTGTCCTGGTGCTTTGAGGTCCCTGACACCGCCGCTGGACACCGAAACACATGTGCCTGCTTTGTACACTGTGCACATGACCTCACACTTGTCTCGACCAGGATGGAAAACAGAATTTCTTGTACGAGACATCGTTAAATGCACATTTGTGCTTCGGCGTGTTACAGACTGACCGACTGTTTATGTCTGCTCCTTCTGAGTTACAGAGAGACACAAGAGATGCTCAGTTTAATGGCTCAATAAAAGAAAATGAAAACCCGGACATTTGCATCACTTTATGGAAAAAAACCCAGACGCCCTGGACAGGATGCATAAAACGGACATGTCTGGGAAAAAACGGACATTTGGTCACCCTAGTTTTATTAGTAATAAATTAGTAGTAGTAGCAGTAGTAGTAGCAGTAGCAGTAGCAGCAGTAGTAGTAGCAGTAGTAGTAGTAGTAGTAGTAGCAGTAGTAGCAGTAGTAGTAGCAGCAGCAGTAGTAGCAGTAGTAGTAGCAGCAGCAGTAGTAGCAGTAGTAGTAGTAGTAGTAGTAGTAGCAGTAGTAGCAGTAGTAGTAGCAGTAGTAATACCAAGCCAGTGCAGAGACTTTAATACATGCTTTTATTAAAATCGCGTGATTACTGTAATGTCTCCTTTCTGGTCTCCAAGAAATCTACAGCTCCATTGCAGCTCCTCCAAACTCTGCAGCCCGGCTGCTGACGAGGACCAGGAAGCGAGAGCACATCACCCCAGTACTGAAGTCTCTGCACTGGCCTGGAGCTTCAGATAGATTTTAAAGTTCTTTTATTGGTTTATAAAGCTCTTATGGTCTTAGTCCTATTTAATCTAGCTTTATCATATGAGCCTCTCGGACTCTCAGGTCCTCAGGTAGTTTTCTTAACTTCCCAAGAGTTCAAACTAAAACTACGGTAGCATCTTTTAGCTTTTACGGCCCCGTCTGTGAACAGTCTGCCTGAGATCTGAGGTCTGCTGCGAGTTCATATTTTTAAAAGTAAACTTAAACATATCTTTTTAATTTAGCTTTTACTGAAACTTTTAGTTTAACTTCAATTATCATTATTATTGTTATTATTATGGTAGTTTTAAATTAAATTATCATTACTATTTATTTTGTCTCCAGTAGCTATACACTTTTAATTTTTACTATAACTTTTAAGAGCTTTATGTTTATTAGTTTTTTTAGTTTTAGTTTCTGTTTAAAGTTAGTAGTATTATGTTCTGTTGCAGTGAAGCAGCTACATTTCAAAGTATAGCAAATAGTAGTGAGTAATAGTAGTAGTAAATCTTTTCTTAAAATATGATGATTTGAACAATGTTTTGGTCAAATTGACTTGTAAGGTGCCAGAAATCAGGCAAAGTGGAATGTTCAACAATATGGCATTATACAGATCGATCTCCATTGCTTTGTGAGAATAGTTTGTTTTTTGTTTGTTTGTTTTTGTTTTGTTTACAATACACTTGCCAGGAAATCAGTATTGAAGAAACAATTTTTTTGTCTATTTGAGAAAAGTTCTGTTCAAGTTCATGTTTTGTGCCCGTGAACCTACCTGATCCGTGTCGTATTTGAGTTTAACTACCTTCTTCTCTCCTTCCAGACCCCGTAGCTCCGGAACAGCCCCTGGCCTGGCGCCCCCTGTCTGTCCCTCCCTGCGATGCCCGAAGAAGTCCACAGCCCCAAATCCGCCATGAAAACTCCTGCTTCCTCAGACAAACCCAACGCTAACTCCAACCCCGACCGCCACGTCACTGTCGTCGCCATCCCACTGGTCAACGAGGGCCAGCTCACCGCGGCGACGGGAGGGACGGAGCTCTCGTGCTACCGCTGCACCATTCCGTTTGGCATTGTGGTGCTAATCGCAGGAATTGTAGTCACTGCGGTTGCTTACAGTTTCAACTCGCACGGATCTACCATCTCCTACTTCGGTTTGGTTTTGCTCTCCGCCGGGGTGGTGCTGTTAGCGTCCAGCGCCATCTGCTTTAAGGTCAGGATGGAGCGGAAGAAGGAGAGGAGGCGGGAGAGTCAGACTGCGCTAGTGGCCAATCACAGAAGCATTTTTTCGTGAACGAATTTGGAGTAAAATGACACAAAAACGATGGCTTTGTAAAGACTTTCGGACTGTTGGGGACTGGAAGAAATGCCACAACTGAACTGTTGAACTGTGACTGAGAAATAGCAGGAAAATTGTAAACAGATTCACAGAGATGAACATAGACTGTATGTAAAAATGGACAGAGCTAATGCCATAACCGTCATGTTCCAAATGAAGTGAAGGGAACATGGACGCACTTGCAGTTCCGTAAACTCCATTGGCTACAATTGACTTAACATTGAAAAATTGCCTCTGTTTGTAACTGCTGCTTTGAGCCTCGTGATTTTGGCCGTAAAATGTTCGTATTAACCCACTCTACGTGATCCTGGTGTTCTTATTTGGTGTTGTTAAGCGCCCGCTCTCTGGTTCTAGGTTCCCTCAGCTTTATGTTCCCTCAGACCTATATTTAAGGTACTAAATGAATATTCAGCCCCGCTCCTGCCTGCACCCACATTTTGCAGTCACGCTCCCGCAAAGAATTGTAATTTTCATTCCCGCTTCTGCCCACAAATCCTGCAAGATGGGGACGTTCGCTTTCTTAAGTTCTAAACACAGAGAAGTGGAAAGGACTTGTCTAAAATGTGTGCGAGATTAGACCACTTCCTGCAAATTTAGGCTGCATGCATTAATATTATGCATTTTTATTCATGCTAAATAAAAGATCCAGCACAAATGATGTATGATAGGCAAACATTCATCATATGTTTAATTTACTTTACAATCATCTGCAGTTTATCATCCTTCTGCCCTACGCCCGCAATGAGCTTTCAAACTGTTTTGCGTGCACGGCTCAACCCTACGTTCCCTTATTTTTAAGATTTTTCAAAATTAAACTCTAAGTCAAGTCATTTTTTTATTTTTATACCACATTTAAAATTCAGATTCAGATGATTCAGAGTCATTTCAACCTCGGCTCCTTTGCACCATGTCCTCTACATTACATCTGTAGTCACCTGCTACTGGAGAATAGGTTAGGTGTAATTGACGACCAAAAGAAATGTGGGAACATTGGGCCTAATTTTGGAAAAAAAAAAAAAAAAACTTGAAATGAGGGAACATAGGGCTGAGGGAACATAGGTACGCTTCCCATGTGGTTGGTAAGGGATGTTACCTTTGACAGCCTCGCTCCTGATTGGCTCTTTGGTTGTTATGATGCTCACGGTCAGAAATTCAAATATAGAACTCGGCACCAGATTCGTCCCTGAGCTTCATTTGACTGGAGCTGAACGCTGTGAGTGACATCACACTCCTGGACTAGACCTGGGCTAGACCTGGGCTAGATCAGGGTTAGACCTTGGCTAGACCTGGTTTAGACCTGGGCTAGACCTGACCTGTGTTAGACCTGGTATGAATGCAGTTTGGACCTGGGTTAGACCTGTCTTAGACCTGGGTTAGACCTGAGTAGGACCTAGGTTAGACCTGGCTTGGACCTGGTTTAGACCTGAGTAGGACCTGGATTACACCTGGCTTAGACCTGGTTTAGAACTGAGTAGGACCTGGGTTAGACCCGTCTTAGGTCTAAACCAGGTCCTACTCAGGTCTAAACCAGGTCTGAGTAGGACCTGGGTTATACTTGGTTTAGACCTGGGTTAGACTTGACCTGGGTTAGACCTGGTATAGACCTGGTTTAGAGCTGAGTAGGACCTAGGTTAGACCTGGCTTAGACCTGGTTTCGACCTGGGATAGACCTGGTATGGACCTGGTTTAGACCTGTCTTAGACCTGGGTTAGACCTGGCTTAGACCTGGTTTAGACCCGAGTAGGACCTGCTGAATTAGACGTGGGTATATTAGGAGCTTTTGACCAAACCTAAACTCATACACCAAGACCTGAGATAGACCCCAACAGAACTGGGTTAGATCTGGGACAGATCTGAGACCTGGGCTAGACCTGGATTAGATGTCACACTCCCTTAAATCCATTTTTTTTATACAGTCTATGGAGCAGAATCAAGGACAATGCTCATTCTGCGAAAGATTCACTGTGTAATTTTTGTGATGTCCGAACCTTCTTGTCTCCATAGAGATGTTTCTGCTTTGCCTGAGCTCAAGACACAGACTGATATCAATCTGTTTAAAAAAAAAAAAAAAAAGTGCAACTGAATACAAAAGGTAAATGAGGAATAACTTTGAAGCACTGTTTAAAATGAGTTCTGGCAGTAAAAATCAGGAACAGAGCTTTGAAATGTACCACAGCTTACATTCAGTTGTAAACGACAATGTACTTCTCAAGGTACTGATACTATGGCCTCCTTGTGTTACTGTGGCGGAGTGGTTAGCCTCTCTCCTCCTCTCTGTAAGGAGGTTGTGGGTTAGATTCTCTCCATCCAAAGACATGAACTGACGCTAGACTCCAATCAGACGACAGAGGAATGAACGCGCTGTCAGAGTAGATCCTGACACGAATATAATGGACTCGTATAATGGACTCTTATATTCAGCTGTATTTACCTGAAGCACTTTGATTCACCAACTGTTACTGAGAACTCCCACGCTGTGAGAGGTCAGTGAATGTAGCATGTATTTACTGTGTTTACTGTATCCGACAAAATCACTTAATAAATATGTATCAAATTACATGTGGAGTGCTCTGAATGTATGCTTATTTTACACTAAATCAACTTCTGAGCTTTTAAACCCGTCATCAAAAACAGACCTGGACGTGTATTCATCTTAAAGTTGCACTGGATCTAGAACACACACTTTATACATATACTTTGAACCCAGTCAAGCAGAAGTAAACAGCAAGGCCAAAAATTCAAGTTAATTCATTTGATATAAAAATGTATTGAACAGATACATATGTACTCTAGTTTATGAAACTGTTGACCTTTTTTCTGTACCATTTTTGGTTCTAAAGTTCCATATGTTTTAAACAGACCATGTATGAAACATGGAACAAAAATTATTTCCCAAATTTCAAAGACCTGCAAATCATGTCAATAAATGGATGTATTTCATCATATCTTGTGTTATTCCATCTTTGAACTGTTGATGAAGGTACAGGATTTTTCAAAAAAAAATTATTTAAAATGATAAAATCCTGCACCTTCTACTTGTTTGCACAATTTTCCCTCCGTTACCATGACCTTTCTTAATAAAAAATCTCATGAGTCAAAAAGTAAGAGGTTTTTCAACCTAATCTTGTACCATATGGTAGAAAACTATATGAAGCAAATATTCAAACCAGTTTGTTAAGGATATGGAAGTGAGAACCAAGAGTTATCACTGTTTGGATTTATTGCCCAAAAAGTGCTGCTTATTTCATTCCCTCTGTTACCGACATGAGTTTTTACATTTTTTGTCAACAACTTGAAAGAATATCACAGGTTTAACTTGACCCTGTTGGAGTGTAACTCTTTCCTACATTCTGATACTTTACTTATTTCAATAGTCCCTCTAGTTTCTGAATAAGAGACAGTTGAATGTCAAAAATCTGCCCGTTTCCCTCTGTTACCACTTGACCGGACCCATTTACAAAGATGTGAGTCTGGACACTGGTGAATCTCCCCGAGTTCAGATGGGAGTGACTGACAGGTGGATTAGCCAATCAGGGACATGCATGATCCGTCTGTATCAAAACAAATATGGCTGAGAAGGAAAAAGTAAAAATATATATAGTAGGGCACTGAAAACATTATCCTGATTCATCACCTGGTTTCACTTTGTAGAAACCGTCTGACCTCACAGTGTTAGAATTTGTTCACTCGACAGTAGGCGGGTACTTTTTTTATTTAACAAATCACTGCTATTTGGTCGTGACGTATGTAATGCGCCGTTAACGGGGCAAACTGGTATATTAAGCTTTTCCCAAATCCTTTAGGAAGAAGGACAATAACGTCTTTTCCCTTGATAAAATTCAAACATTCTCTTTGTTCTGGCTTTAAATCCTCAATCTCGAGAATCATTGACAACACTGAATATATGGTTCTTCGCTGATTGGCTGGTGCTCGAACTTGCACTTCCGGGGTTTTTGCAAACCGTCTATTGTATATTGATTCCTCACCTAGTTGCTGGAGAGAAATGAATTTGAGCGGAGGCACTAGGTGGTGCCAGCCTGGTTAGAAAAAACATGGCAAACAATGAACAGAGCACTAAACTAAACAAGAGAAATGTCTTTGTTTGTAAATGATAGGTGAAAAATGAGCTCCATTGTTTCTCAAACGTTAATGAAATAAACAAATTTGCTTGGACAAGTTTGGTTCTGGTTCCAGATGGAGATAAGATTTTTGGATTTGACGGTCAAATGTTTGAGTAATCCTGTCTATTTTGGGTGTCAATTTTTTAATCACTTTGGTCACGTTTACATTTCAAATTAATAGGTCTGAAATAAATAGTTTGAAATTAAAGTATTCTTGTTTGAGTTTACATGGAAATAAAAATGAATAATTATTAATAATAATAATTCCAAATTGATGTTTACATGGAAAACATGTTAAACAGCCTTTATTTTATTCTGCTCAACATCTTGAGGTGGGGAAGGGTTCTGATTGGACGGAGACACCAATGTATTTTCATCAACCAAAAGAAAACACACACTTCAGCTGCTACCGGCTTTTTTGTCATCTCGATTTGTCGTTACGCCACGGACACAAATACGATCCAAACTTTTTCCGCAGTCGTTCTAATGATAATGAAGCATCAGGTCACGAATTCTAGACTTTACACTTTACGTTTGTCAGCTGAGGAGGAAAAGGGAAGAGTGTCGGAGAAGGGAGGAAGAAGACAAACTGAGTCAGCGGTTGCTCTACCTCAACCTACTCCCACATCCCGCTTACAAATCCAAAGAGATGTAGATGAAATTCCGAAGTCACGACTGGTGGAGCCGGATCGCGTCAGAAGGGCAACACAACGAGCATGCGGCTGAACCACCGAAAATATTTTTAAGAAGAATAAATGTGAAACATGATCGAGGAATAACTTAATTTGGCTTTAAAATTTGAATAAACCACACACTAACTTCAGAATTAAGTTTAATTCCCAGTAATAATTTTCATTAGGAATTAAGTGTTTACATGGTCTTTTGAAAGCAGAATACATTTTTATTCAGAATTAAATGATTTTTATTCAGATTTAAAGCTCTCAGGTCAAACTGTGTGACGTCATCATGTGGTAATCCTTAAGTGTTCTGTGGGTTTTTTTGGAAGAGTTCAGTGTGTGTCCAAGTACAACTGTCACCCCGGAACGACGCCTCTACCCAACTCACAACAAGGGGTAGCATTATACCACACATCTGACAAAACATTAACTTGTTGATTTAGCGTATACAGCAAGAAAATGAACAATAATGCTGACCCGGTACACTTTATCATGGGT